TGAATCAAAGGCTTGGCAACTTAGAAGCACATAACTCAGGGCTCAACATTAATGTTAGCCGGCTAGCCAAAAACAGGTAGAAATTCATTTTTGACCAGTGGCTTTTGATTTTCATTAGCCAGTTTGGCTAGTTAACAAACTGAAATTGTTGTAACATCTAAGTTGTCACTAGCCACCTGGCTAGTAAGTTGAAAAGTTAGTGTTGAGCCCTGCAACTGTAAAGTGGCCTATTCCTGGAGAATGATGTTGAATATGATATTTAAAAAGAGAGCACTTTCCATAACTACACAACTGACATTTGCTCTGATGAACGGCTTATGCTCAAAATGTCAGCTCTACAAACTATTTACAGAGGGGGAATTAATTTTATCAACCCAGTTGATAAAACAAAAGTACCTTGTAATACCCTTCACCCTCACAGCACCACAGTTTCATCAGAAACTTTCCCTTTTATCAATCAACATGTAGCATGTCATTGCATGGTCTCTCCTATGTTCAGCTAACCAAATAAACAAGTGTGCATATTCTAGTACACAAAGGATGTTAATATTAGTAACAGAACTGTGTCTCTGTTCTCATATTTTCATTTTGTTTCCTCAGGCTAAACACAAATTAGTAAATTAAATATGCAAATGCATCCTTCAACCAGTTTGTCTGAACTCACAAGATTTGTACTTGAAATTGTTGTGACTAGCCAGTTTGTATTATGGGCAATGTTTCATATTAAGATTTTGAATTGAATCATTGCCCCCTCCAAACTACAGTGTGGTTGAATACTGCAACTTGAGAAATACACTGTAAAAGCTGTAAGTAATATTTTTTTGTATTTTATATTTTAGTACGTTCGTCCATAGAAGAAATACCAGATCAAAATGTAGCTGAAGGAAAAAATGTGACTCTTATTTGTAATGTATCTGGAATCTCTCTGCCAATGGTGACTTGGACGACACCTTATGGTCATAGTACTGCTGAAAAAGTGTTGGTGGTTACAAACATTAGCAGGAATCAAGCTGGTGAATATAAATGTGAAGCCAGTAATGACTGTGGAAATGCAATAGAGACAGCAATTATTACTGTGCAGTGTAAGTAAATATTATCCTTTACTAACTTGTATTTCTGTCTTAGTATTACCACTTGCCTAAGTGTCGTTTTATTGTCGGACAAACTTGTGTATGTGCGAGATTCAAATGCATTGCTGAAAAATTTCTTATAAGTGGGTGAATGTTAAGTTGCTTATTGCAATTGATCAATGAATAAAGGAACTCATACCTGGGTTGTTAAGTCACAGTAAGCTAAAATTAAGGGTTTTCCAAATTCTATAACATTACTGTGGTTACATAGGCGAAAAAAAAATCACAATTGTTCACGAACAATTGGGCAAACTGAAAAGCCATTTGTGGCCCAGAAACCTATAAGCTGAGCAAATGACACAAGTCTTAAGCGCCTTTTAAACTGGCTCAAAGTTTACTCTGCCTCAAATATTTGAAGCTATAAAATTAAGATTTAACATGCGAGCAATGGAACAGTGCCGAGAAAAACATCAGTGACACACAGTTGTTAGCATTCCATCAGCCAGGGGTAAAGAAGGTGACTCCTTGGCTACTGTAAATATCTACATGCAACTAACAAAGGTCAAAGAAGTTATACTATTGTCTTATAAATTGTCTCTTTCTTCCTCAGACGAACCAGACAATGTCCAGTTAACGAGTTCTGCCAAGAATAACACAGCATGTAAGGGAGAAGTTATCAGCTTCAACTGCTCAGCTGATGCTAATCCAGCAGTGACATACCAGCTGTTCGAGAACGAAACTGCCATTTTACAAACAAATTCTGCAGGAATGTGGAGCAAGACTTTGAGAAAGGAAGGAGTGTTTGTCTACAAATGTGTTGCCAACAACTCTCTAGGATCAGCATACAGCATGAATGTTGCTGTTACTGTGGATGGTAAATAAAATAGCCCAAATTTTGATAAAAATAATATACATGCCAACATGACATTTTCAGGAGTGTACGTTTACGTACACTCAATTGCAAAAACTTTTACATTGAAGAGCTAACATTGAGACTCAACAGCTATATGGGGAATCTTCACTTAGAATGATGTTTAGAATGATATTTGGCTACAAGCCAGTGACCAGCTGCTATATGTATTTAAACCATTCCTCATTTTCACTCTTCATTTTACAGTTCCTTCTTCAATTATCCAAATAACACAACATCAGAGTGTAACTGAAGGTGACAATGTGACTCTTATGTGTAATGTATCTGGAGT